TGGAACAGTGATGAAGGAGTAAAAAGATGTTTTTCGAAGTATGAAGTTTTTTTTTTTTTAATTGTAGCAATTTATATTGTTACATATTTATATAAATATATAATATATTTATAGAAAGTGTTTAAAATAGTTAAAAATTAGTTCAAAATAATCCTTTTTAGAAACTTTATATTGCGATTTGTTTGATTATTTTTGTTGTTATTGATAAAACAGACACCCCACATAATTGTTGATATCATCAATATACCATAGTATCCTGGGCCACGTCATGATATATCCTTACATGCTATCAAATTGTAATGTGATGTCATGCCTTCTCAATTATCGAACACTTAAAAGTCGATAAGTATATTGAAGATGTTCGAAAGTAAAAACCTCTTAAGAATTGTATCCTGTTGATAAAATGTATTTCATTTTAACTAAACGTAATGCTTTTAAGATATTTTTCATTTTGTCAATTATTCTTTTTCAAAAAAATTTGCTATGACCTAACCAGTGTACATATGACCAATTGTTATTAACAGTATCAATATTAGTGGCACAGAATAATCTTGTTATTTTAGCTTAAACGTGATGTAAAGAAGTATGGATAAACGTATATAGTGCATAAATGACATTTTTATATTATAATTGCTGAAATAACAATGGCTATAAGAACAAATAAAACTAAAATTAGAAAATAATAACAATAAGATAAAACAAGGTGGCAGAATTGTCAATTTCGAGTTGGCCACTATCCATCACTCCATTCCAGTTGCTCAAAGCCAAATGGAGTGGAACGACCATAAGTGTTAAATTTAAATTTTCGGAGGTATAGTTATTATTGGAGATAGATATTTTTATATTGGAGATATTGAATTGTTGCCATTTAAATTATTTTTAACTCCTATGAGAAAAAAAAAATCAAATGAAATGAAATCGATATACATTCATATTTTACTACTTGGTGCTATTGACTCCGGACATCAAGTGACAAAATTCAGTGAGTTAAATAAATAGGCGAAGACTTTCATATTATTTTATATTTATCAACGAAAAGTTTTGGTTTGTGTAAAACATCAAAATGCAATTTCAAGCATATAGGTCAAATCATGAGTTATTTGTCGGTATTTTATATATCCTTCATACTCGTATTCACCCCAGTCAAATAAGGAAGTAGTTTTGTTTACGGTGTAGCGGTTATTATGTGCTGGATGGTTATATCTGAGATATTTTCTAAATAAAAGTCTTCTCTTAAAAAGGAAGGGATTATTTGGCTTTTACATGCTATCAAGACCTAAGTCGTTAAGGTCTAAGCCTTTTGAAATCTCACGTAAACAAGGAATTATCAAGATTATAGAATGATACCAGCAACCACCAGAATTTTATTTCAGTATGGCTCTCGTTAGAAGAAACCAACCAATGGTCAATTTCAAAAAGATTTTATATTTCATTCTTCTTTTACACAAGGACAATTAAATAGGTTTTTAAACAATGTCATGCCTTGATTGGGTGGATTTTAAATACTTTTTCAAACTTAAAAATATTTTAAACCGTGATTTACGTTAAATAATATTAGTTTTCAAAAATTATTATTTGTAATTTTTTCGCCACTCTCCGTTACCTCCTACAACTTCCTATATTTGGTATTGTTTTTTTTTTCTAAAATTCTCAGCTTTCCAACGATGTATTATACGTATACCTTCTGACTGGTGTTTCCGGAGATACATTTCCGATCTGGATAAGCATTTTTATTTTTATCTCGTTTATTCAATTATCAAATTCTTTCAAAAGTTTTATTTAGCATTTTTTCGTAACTCTTAATAATGTGAGAAAGTTAATTATTTAAAATAAGCCATATTAAAGGTACTTTAGAGGAAGACGTATATGAACATTGGGCATTTAAGCCCTGTAAAGTGACATCAATGGAGATAAGACCCAATCGATATTATTGACCATTTAATTATACAATGATATGATACACCCAGTTTAATCAAAATAGTTAGAGCCGTTTTCGAGAAAATTGTAAAAATGTGTTTCAACATTGATATAAAATGGCATTTCCGGTTAGCCGATTTTAAGGAAAAAGTTGCTGTCACATTTAAGGCATATACCTATCTTAAATACGTAATATCAGTTTCGTACGATGTTGAAAGTTCAGATTAGCAATTTTTCACGATCGCAATATTACTATATATTACATATATAGGTAAGTGAAAGTAATAACATATTTTGATTTAGACATTATACGTCTGTTATATATTTAACATAAATAGTCCTATATATAATAAAAATGTTTAAAAAAGTGATAGTAGATCTTAAGAGAAAAACAGTTCATATACCATACACTATGGTCCTCTTCCACTTAAAGTACGAAATTTAAGTTTTGCTTTTGTTCAAGTAAGTCCCGTATTTTGAGAAATAGTAAGCTTTAACTAAAAAAACTAATTAATTTAGAAATTATTTCTATTGTAGCATAGTAAACTAGATAACATTTTCTTATAAAGCAAGTAAAATTTGTCTTTGACAAAAACATATTCAGGAGGTTTTTAAGGTGCTAAATCTCGGTAAGTTCTGTTTTTCATATTTTTCGAATTGGACTTGAGATTCCTCTCTTTTATATATAACAAAAAAAAAACAAAAAAACTGCTAGTTGAATAAGCTTAAATCAATATTAATTAGTTCGAAAAATCTTCCTTTATTAGCTGAGATTTATCATCTCGAAGGAATATTGTATTTTATTTAAAAAATAAATGATTAAATTTTTATAATAAGCCTTTATTAATTTTTTTTGTGATTTACGATATATTGTAATAAATTAATACGAAAATGCACTTTATATATTCATGAACAATATGTGAAAAATGCTGTTTATAGAAAAACAAATATTTAAAAAATATGCACACAGATGTGCACTACCACATTGAATGATAGTGTTTAAATATTCATTAATTATTAGTTTATTAAAATACATTCCTAGTCACAGAAAAAAAGTTTATGTATGGCATTCTAGCAGTACCTACCTCAAAGTGTAGAAACTGGGACAATTGTAAAGGAGCGCTCACCTTTTGTAAGAGTTATTAATCGTATTAAAATAATTAATTTTAATCTACCAATAAAGAAACTGTATCAGAGAAATGTTGAATACAATAAAATTCAAATGCTACGGAATATAAAACATTTTAAGAAATAAATTAAATTTTTTACGAGGGGAAATGACGTCATTGGGGGGGGGGAGGGGCGCTGAGTGTCTAAGGCCGGTACTGCGTCCTATCATCCCCTCTCTTTGTCCCCACACATTTCTTATGTATGCAAACCTATTGGCGAAATACTGAATTAGGGAACAGAGTTTATCTAATAAGTAATTTTGTAAATAAGCAATCACATGATTGTGAATGCTTTTTGATAATTTTTTTAATGAGCTAGTTATTTTTTTTTTTAATTTCATTAACATTTTAAAATTATTTAATTACACTCTTATCCCTGGAATTAATCTTTTAATTACTCTATCCATGATTTCGTCTATGTTTCGGCAAATAGTAAATTTTTGAAAAGTTCAACTAAGTATTAATGCGTATGTAACGATTAGAAAGGAATAACTTTAAACGAGGATCATGGGTCGTACTATGATACTCAAGTATGCACCTCCAATTTATGATCAACATGGTTGGTATTGGTTACCTGCTTATAAAATAGATTTTATATTGGCTGAAAAGATAAGGTTTTCAATACGTCATAAAACCAACACAAAACTAAAAATAATTTCAGAAGTCTGATGTAATAATGTGTATCAATTTCGTTTTATTTAAACGAAATTTCTTCATTACATATTGACAAAAGGTTGGCTTAGCATAATTTATTACAATCATTATTACAATGAAATTTCAAAAATACTGTATAATTTCCCAAGTGAATTTTTTAAATTGTAATTATCAATTCATGCACATATGTTTTATAGCATTCCCATGGATGTGTACTATGGGATATTATTAATAAACTTCACATTATATAATCAGGTAGATTTTTAACTAAGATTTTAAAGACATAATATCTATATTTACTATTATTTTGGATACTTATGATACATAAAATACAGATTATAATGAAAAAAAAAATTAGTGCAATAAAAGTGAACGAAAGAATGATTTAACAATATTATGCAATTATGACGTAGGAATTACGTCAAATATCAAAGTTACAATTTTTTCGAATTGGTTATTATTATTTTTTTAATTAGTCAATAGCACTAGCGGATCCAGGGTTTAATTTAATTAAGTTAAAAATAACGGTAATTACTTTGAAAAAAAAAGAAAGAAACTAAGAACCTCAAGTCCTTTTCTAAGATTCCTAAAGTCCTTTTAAATGTAATTAGACGAACAATAATACTTTAAGAGATAATGTTTTTCTATAAAACATGGTTATGTTTTACCATTTGAAGGGGAGGGAGGGCTTCAGCCCCTAAGCACCCCCTTAGATTCGCCTGTGGTCAATGGTAAAAACATTTATAAAAATATATGTATTACATTTGTCGAATTAATGCAGTCATATTTTGTAGGATAAAGGAACATACAAATGTAAATAGCATTACTTATAAAAAAGAAATAAATCCATCCTTTGGCTGAATATGTAGTTCCCATGGGCAGAAGACCTAAATTATTTTTTCAAGAGTTTTATTTATTTTTTTGTATTCTTCGTTTGAATTTCCAAGAAATGTGCCATCCAGATGCTCTGTATGCTATTAAAAGTTAACGATGAAATAAATTATATATAACATATTTAATATATTTTTTGCGAAAAATGAATAAAATATATTTTTTTACGAAAAAAAAATTTATTTTCTTGACAAGAAAAATAATCTTTCATAAATTTTTTATTGTAATTACCTAGTTGTTAGTAACAATAAAATATTGTACATACAAAAATAGTTAAGAAGTAAAACATATCAACCTGTTAAATACATAATACAAAATAAAAAAATATATATATATATAAAAACATTAATGGGGAGAAAGAATACTCACTTATTGAAGTTGCTAAAATTGAAGAAAACTGGAAACGTCGATACAAATAACTAATCGTTGCTCACAGAACACCCACTGTAGTACCTTTTTCTATAAAGGGTTAGTAATTTATTTTTAATCTGATTGTGCACAACCAACACTTCATCACACATTCATACTAATCAAAAAAATAAAAAAGAAATTACAATCACTTCTGAAATATCCTGTCCTTTTGTTTTATTTATTTTATTATGTATTTTTATTTCTTTATTTCATTCATTAGTTTGCTCTATGTTCTTTTATTTTATTTTATCCAATGATGCAATGATGCCCCAGATGGAAGGAGAGAGAGAGGTGCTTAACATAACCAACCTCTCGATGACGATACAGGATTCAGACTGATCTGTCCTTATCTAACGAAAAAATTTATCACTTGTTCGATAGTCCCTTTTATCAGTAGTTGCCACCAGGTTGCGCAATTCTTACCTGAAGCACCAATCCTTATCTCGAAGGCATAAAACAAGGCATGTCTTCTTGGGAATCTGGAGGGTCGATCATTAATGACGTGTCATCAACCGTCTTAGTTAATATTTTTTCGGCTATAACAAATAAGGGTTAATTTATTAGGCCTATATGTGTGAACGTTTTGCCCAAGAAATCTCCGTTGTAAATTCTGATGAAACTACCACTCAGTTATTACATTATTTGCTATGTGAAAAAAAAAAAAAACTGTACCACAACCACCCAGGGTCTTGGGTTCAGTGCTATTTAGGGAAAGTACTTTTTCAAGGCCAACAGTTGGGCAGAGAGGGGATCGGGCCAGGATCACGCTCAACCGTCAGGTTTTCCCCCTTAATTAATTATTTACCCACTTTGTAGAGGCTGGGTGTACTCCATGAAGGTCTCCCTACCGCAGGGTAGCCCACGGCCAATGAAACAGCATAAATGATTTTTCTGCCACGAGTCGGGATTCGAACATGGCACCTTGAGCATTGGAAGCTTAGCGCCCTACCACTGTGCTATCCCAATCCTTATTTGCTATTTGAGGACAGGCTTAAATGAAAGTATTTTAAACTTTATGTTGAAAATGATACTAAACTGTTATAGTTATAATAATTAGTGAGGGTGTAGAAACATATTATAGGTACAACCAACCATAAATTCTATGTTATTTGAGTTTTGTGAAAGTAAAGTTTGCACTCCTAAATAATGTTTTTCTTGATTTTTATGAAGAATGTGTTGTTTTTCGGCAATTGCTATATAAATAATTATGTTCACAAGTAATATATCTAATTATGTACTTATATAATTAGTAATATATACTAATTATATAAATAATAATAATAATAAAAGGCTTAGCGAACACGAATGTTCGATGCCGACACTACCAATCGCATATTACACACCTCCCTCCACCGTTCGCCATTCAAACCTAGTCCATTCAGATCAATGCAATCTTCCCACTTCCGCTTCGGTCTACCCCTCGGACGTTTACCATTCGGTAAAGAAAATATTAACCTTTTAGTAATTCTCTCGTTACTAAGCCCAACAACTTTACAAGCCCATTTGATTCGCCGCGATGAAATTACCTCAATTATATTACCCGGATACAGTTCACGTAATGTAACCGTCTGAACTCTCCGGTTAACTCAGCCTTCTTCCGTCCGAATATTCTACGCAATACTTTATTTTCAAAAACCTCACTAATTATAAAAGTATAATATAATTGCTATATAATAGGATCATTTAGGAATATCTATTTGAGAAAAATGTATGGAAACAAGTTTTATAACTATGTCTGATGGACGAATCTATTTCAGCAGCGTTTTCACAGTACTTAAACCATGGCAATGGCGATCAAGAGGATATGAAAGGAATATTTTCAAATTCTGGCCAAAACGAGAGTTTATGGCAAGAGCCAAGTTTTGTTTAGTTAATTTGTTAATTGTATTTCTACTCTGTTTTTTTAAATTGCTTTTACATGTCTGTTACTACGTTCATTGATTTTTTGTTTACCAAGAGTTTGTATGTATTTTTGTTTGATACGTTTGTGAAACGTGTACAGATGCTTCTGCCTTCCGTTCCCAAGGCCAGAGCTTCACTGAACCTCACGATTAAGAGGTAGTAATCCCCTCATTCGGCGTGACAGTTCGAAAAGTGGGTAAATTACCTGTCTGCAGTACCGTAAGGGCGTTAACAAATTGCGTGATATTCGCAGTATAACTTTTTACAAAAAAATTGATTTATATAAATTTGAATTCTTGTATGTAATAAAATGAGTATGATTTATAGGCATCAACGTTCTCATTTTCGTATGTTGTTCCTCTTTGACCAATATACAGAAATAATAAAGTACCACTGATGCTGATAAATCATACTCATTTTATTGCCCTTTTAACTTTTTTAAAACTTTGGATACGAATACAATTCCTGTATTTGGAATTTGAGGTTGTAAAAGACCTGAATTTAGGGATAGTTAATTTTAGACTATTAATAAATCAACTAATTTTTAAAAATAGTGAAGAATTATAATTCAAATGTTACATATTCAACAATAACCAATGAAATTAATCATTTTTTTAAATTATTTAATTAAAATTAACTGAGAACGATAAATGACTAAGTACGTAAATCAATAAAATGTTTAAAAAAATAAATGACATTTTTTGCAACTCATTATAAAATTGTTTATTAATTTTTTTTTTACCCTTGGTATATTGGCCCCCAAAGCCAAGTGGTATATCAGTACTTATTTTCTTAAATGACATTTATTATCAATCATCTTTCGTCAACATAGCCTTGGTAGTGGAAAAGCAAGATATTTTGAGAATTTATATTTTTTAATTTATTATTTAAACCCTTGATAAAAAAATACTTCCGGTAGTTCTCGAAAACTAAGGTGGGATAGGATTATAAAAAAAAGTAATAAAATTTATAGGGAAGAATATTACTCAACGATTCAACATTATTTTAAAGTTGTTACGAAATTTTATTCATATCTATTCAACAATTATTTTTGTCTAAAACATTTCCGGATAAATAATTTGAGTTGAATCCCGACATAAAATATATAACGACATAAAATATAAAGACTATTTGAAATAAAGAGGAACCAAATTAATTCACTAAAAAAATCTTCTTTTATTATCATATCAAGTACCACCAAAATATTTATATATTTCATTTAAATTTTTTTTTTTTATTGATTTCTACCAATGGGTAGTTTCTCTTTATGTTGTACATGTCATGTTACCAATGTCACATTTACTTGTTTTTCGTTTTTCATGTAATACAGTTGCAAATTTCATTAAAATAAATAAAAAAAAGAATTATTTTTAGCAATTAATCATATACAATAAAATACAAGTGATAAAATTACTTGTATGTAAACAGTTTGGGGTAGAACATAAATTTAAAAAGGTTTTGTACTATGTAAGGGTATAATTATTTATTAGAAGTGTTTAGCAATAAACAAGTTCATTTTTAGAAAAAGGTAGTGGGGTTGCGGTCAATATATAATGCTATATTATATAATATTATTTTTTATTGTATTTTCAACGCTTCGACCTACGTTTTTAAGACTTCTTCGCGGCTAAAAAAGACAAACGATAGATGTTAATTGGTACAAGGTACAATAAATGATAAATAAAATATCGGTTGATATTAAACTGGTACTGCTTACTGGAGAAAATAATTGTGGAAACCATGAGATAACATAAGTGATGTGGTAAAATTATAGTATAGTTAGAAATACAATATACTATATTACACATTATATAATATATGATTATATATTGAACGCACCCCCCGCCTAACTTCTCCAATTATAAGTACATTTAACCATCTCCACATCAACATAAATTTTTATTTTATTTTTTTTATGCTAAATTTAACCTTAATATTAAACTAAAGTTATCATTTTATGTGGATTAATAAAATATCCGGTTTCGGTTTATTCCTCTGAATGTGTGTGAAATTTAGATAAACATTCTTTTTTTTCGTTTAATCCGTATTAATTTAGTTCATATTTAAATTTTTGATAAAAATTACATGGATATATATTCCATTAAAACTTTAAAGTTAAAAATGAATTATGAGGAAATTATTCACATATTCAACATATTATATTGCTCTATAGCGGAGAACCCAGTAGGCGCGGTGGAAGGATTGAATTGAACCATTATCACCTTGTTGCACAGGAATCTTCATGATACCGTTTCTGTTCCAGGGCCACATGTCCGATACAGAGGAACTTTCTTCGCCAGAATCGCCACTTCTTCCGGTAACTATCTATTGATTTACCTCAATTATTAACCCGATACATTTTTAACTGCTTTTATTTAACTGACCAATAACTTTTAATTATTCTCTCCGAGGCGTCTAAAAAGAAGATGGCCTCTTGATGCCCAAATTAAGATATTTAGAGTTAAGTTTCTTTACAAGTCTTTTCGTGCAACTGTATTTCTCTCTATCACATTTACTGGATGTATATTTCTTTTGTACAGTTGTAAATCATTTATAATAAAAATAATAAATAAAAAATATTTGTGCTTCATGAAAATGCTGAGTAGATTCTTAGTATTCGATTGGTTAGGATTCTTGCTTAATAAATTTAGAAAAATTTGGTTCCAGAAGCCTACACAGTTTTTCGTGTTTTATACTTATTTTTTTCTCTATTCATATTAATTAACATATTATTTTAATTTAATTATTCGTTCTATACGAAGATGGAAATTACATGTCAATAAACAAAAATTTGCAGGGATGATTTTGAGATTTGCTCGTGCATTTGCAACTGCAAAACTTTTACTTTTGTACCTGTCTCTTTTGTACAAGCGGCTTAACTAGCTAACTAGGAGCTAGCTCTTCAAACCAGCAACTTAACCATCCCTAAATTCAGGTCTTTTTCAACCTGCAATTCCAGGTACAAGAATTGTATACATATCCCAAGTTTGCATATTGGTCAAAGAGGAACAAAATACAGAAATAAGAAAGTACCATTGATGCTTATAAATCATACTCATTTTATTGCATATAAGTATTCAAATTTCTATAAATCATATTGATTATTTAATAGTTGACCGTTGCATTATAGAGGAAGGAGATGGACCGGGGTTGCGGTCATAAAAAGGCTGAATAGTAGTAAAACTATTTTATTGAAAGCCAACGTTTCGACCCGACTTTGCAGGTCTTCATCAGGGAGGTGTGTTCAGCTAGGAGTTTCACTTAAAACTGGAAAGTCTGGTCGAAACGTTGGCTTTCAATAAAATAATTTTACCACTATTTAGCCTATTTATGACCGCAAACCCAGACCATCTCCTTCCTTCTATAAATCATATTCGCTTTAATCAAATATTAATATTAAAACTGTACTAACACTAATCCTCACAGTATTAAACATATAATCAGACCCAAAGGAAACTCGCATAGATTGGACATAAGGTAAAATGAAATAATTGAAGGAAGTTAGTCGACTTTTCTACATATCATAGGTGATAAGTAGTCAGGGCACAGTCATTTTAAAGATGTTTTATT